TGACTGTTGCGTCCGGATAGTCCTATATCGTGCTAGAAAACCGTTCCTGGGATTTCAGCCATGTGAATCTTTGAAACTATTGCAACTTTGAAGACGAATGTGTGCGGTGCTAAGACGAGAGTCACATTTTGAAAACACCCCGCCCTTCGTCCGTGAAAGTGTTGCGAACTTTGACAGGAATGCGCGCGGCGCGAAGGCGAGAACCACATTTTGAAACATGCCCGCGCTCCATCCGTGACGCTGTTGCAAATTTTAAGCTTGAGGGTCATAAGTGATGAACAAGTCTCAGGCGAAACGCCGGGCCCGCCCTACAGACACGTCTGGGGGTGCGACAGGGAGGGTGTCGGGAAGGGACGGAGGAGGAGGAGGAGGAGGAGGAGGAGGAGGAGGAGGAGGAGGAGGAGGAGGAGCAGCAGGAGGAGCAGGAGGAGCAGGAGGAGCAGGAGGAGGAGGAGGAGGAGGAACAGCCCCTCCTCGCCCCTCCGGTCCGTGTGGCCTCCTCTTGGTCCCGCGTGCCTCCCAGTACCATCTTCCCTCCTCCGCCGCCCTTTCCTACTCCTTCCCCCCTCTGGTCTCCTCCTTCTCCCCGCCCTTCCTGCGCGCCCAGCATCCTCTTCACCTCTCATGCCCTCCCTCGCCCGCCCTGGCCCCCCCCCCACCAGCCGTTGGGACGGCCAGCGCGTCCTGTGGACATGTGGACATTCCGTTGCAATTTGGGCTCAACATGAACACCGGGCCCTGGTGGCTCGTGCTTGTGTGCAGCCATGGGGCCGGCTTGAGTGCCCCCGTCTGTCTGGCAACAGTTGCCGAGTTCACGTTCGCGTGCTTGAGAAGCCAAGCTTTTCAGGTTTCGATTCGTATCCCGCAGTCTGCTCCACGGGCCGAGACCATGGCCAGATGGTGGAGGATAGCAATGGCAGAGCGGCTCTTTGAAGTCGCAACAGCAGTGCCACGAGCCCTGCCCGCGCTGCAGGTATCGCTGGAACTGCAAGAATAGTCATTGGTGCTTCCAGTGTCCAGGGTCGTTGGTGGCCAACCCAGCAGCGGATTGTCGCCCACGAGGCCGGTGGTCGGCCCTCCAGCTATTGGACTCGCCGTTCCGCGACGCTGGTGCCGACTCCCCGTTCAGGCCCGCGCCAGCGGAGCGTACATGGGCAAGGGTGGTGGCAAGAAAGGCGAGCCTCCCCCCCCGCCGCCCAGAGGTCGTGGTAAAGCGACAGCCGCCGCGGCCTCGAAGCGC